CCCTGCCTTCCCATCTTCTCTCCCTACCCCATCTACTGTAATTTGACCACATATTTCTTTGGAACTCATATCTTCTTGTCAAAGACCAGGCAGCTTCCATATCTAAAGTCATATAAACCTGAGAATTGCTGTTTCCACATTTAAATCTGACACCAGTGATCACTGGCATACTCCTTTAGTAGTTTTTACCACACCCTTGCATGACTGAGCTATTTTGATTTTTTAAAAATGAACTGACTTTTAAAAACTTAAATAGGCACAAGATGATTTGGAATATCCTTTCCTTAAATCAATTCATATATTTAAAATGCTAATATGTTCTATTAAATATACAAATAATAAATACCATTGAAGTCAGAAACATCCGTGGACTGTGTCAAGTTGTTTTGCCTACTGGTGTACACGTCCTGTATTCTGGGAGGTACTGTTTTAAACAAAGGAGAACCAGGCATGACCTGTGTGCTATGGTCAAGGGGTCAGCCTGGGCCCAGTGCCTGTGGCTGAGAGCCTACGTAAGAGAGTGAACGTGGCTGTGGAGAACCCACCTGAAGCACTGGAGCCGAAGTCCTTGGGCGAACCGGCCAGCTTGGTACTCCTTTCCGTCCATTACCGAAGGGACCGTCTCTGTGTCCTGCACAATGACAGCCATTTCACTGTCACGCTTCCCCAGCATGCTTCTGTCGTTTATGTTGGCGGAGCCTAGAGGAGACACATTGAAACTGAGTAACCTCCTGTGGTGGGCCCTGCTGGTTGCCTCCCTACTCAAATTTTTCCTGGCTAATAAAACCCAAGTTTTGTATTTTAGGGCCCTAAATCACAGGGAAGTCTCATTCAGTCTAATCAGTCATGGTAATTTCATTATTTCTGCCAGTGACTGGTTACAAATCGGCCCTTGGCGTGGTTCTAGCCAATGCAACATGGAGAGAAGTCTTCCACGGGCTTCCAACAAGGTCTTTTTCCTTAGTCAGAAAGAACAGAAGAAATGGATGCTGTCTTTTCCAGGATTTAGGTATTTGACTTGAAAGGTTGGGTGAGGACATGACCCTGGGAACTGCTGCAGGCACTGGCAACCACAAGTGGACAGACAGACACATTGAGGATGGAGAGCAGAAAGACTCTGGATCTTTAGGTCACTGGGCTAGCCAAAGCTAGAACTTTCTAACCTTGTGTTCTTTGAAGTAATACATTTTCCTTACTGTTCCACACACTGCTAGTTTTCTACCTCTGTCTCAAAGAATTGCAATTGATCCAATCATGAATCACTTCAAGAAAACAAGGCATGCCTATCAGTTCAGCACAGAGGATGGCGTGACTTGCAGAGTTAATCAGAGTCTGGTTAAGGTTGTGGCTCAGCGGTAGAGTGCTTGTCTAGCATGCGTGAGGCACCGGGCTCGATCCTCAGCACCACATAATAAACAAATAAAATGAAGGTATTGTGTCCAATTACAACTAAAAAATACATATATTAAAAAAAAAAAAAGAAAAAAGAATCAGAGTCTGAAGACTTTAACTCAGTCACCTAACGAGGAATGTGAAAGCCCTGGAGCCACCTCCATAATCACCAGAGCCTAATCTCAGAGCCAGGTTGTCACTGGTGGCTTTGGACTTTCCACTCTTGCCTCACTCCTGTGGCATGCTGACATCCTCCCTATCAACTTCCCTCACATTCTATTTTTAAATCCTGAGGAGCTGAGAATGTTGACTTTCAAATGTGAAGGGCAAATCTTTTCATATTCGTTCAACCTGAGCTCTCCACAGTCCTCCGATGTGCATTCAGAAACCCCAGCACATTTTCTGCATTCATCGCTGCAGATTCACGCTTTGGAATCCTTAATGTGTCCTACCAGCTACAGAGGGGCCCCAATTTTTTTTTCTCTTTGTTCCTCTTGTCCTGGCTGCAGCACTCTATGGCTTCTGCAGACATGGAGCAGAAGGGTCGGGCTGAACAGGCGCACTGGCTGCCCCCTTGTGACTGGAATACCAGAGCAGTAAAGTGACAGTTGTCCTGCTTCCAGTACCACTGGTGGGACTGTGCATCAGAGAAAGCTGCCCTTTCCTCAAGAGGCTTAACCATCACACACCAGAGTAGCATCACATAATCAATATACAAATCTACAATGACTGTGGATATGAATGGTACCCCATACAAATGGGGGTTCTGTTGGAGTGCCGTAAAGTGGGAACCTTTGAAACATTTTGATGTGTAAGCAACACATTTTCCTTTATACATACACTTACATTTTCCTTAAGCTGTAAAATCAGCAGGCATATCTTCAGGCTTGACAGTCAGCCAGCATTAATTGGGCAAGTCATTTAATCTTTCTCAGCTTAAATTTGATCTTTCATAAATTGAGATAATATCGACCTTGTAGGGTTGTGGTAGGAATTAAGTAAGACCACGTGAAAGCACCTGCTGATTCATGAGCTGCTCTATGAATGTTAATTATTATTGGCATTATTATCAGATACTTGTTAACCCTAGAATATCAGCACCACAGCACATTGCTGTGGGAAGACAGAATTTGCTAGAATGAGCATTGGTATCAAAGAAGCCTCCTCTCTGGCTTATTCACACCCACCCCTGGTGTATGTTACCAAGGACACTAAGAATAAAGTTCTCGTGATGTTATAGCTTCAGGATTTCATTATTTCCTGCTCTGGGCAGAGGTCACTCTGGGGCTGGGGCTGATGGTGAGACATTGCTACTCTGTTCCCTGTCAGGAAAACTGGGATGTGAGCCAGCTTGAAAAATCTCCTCCATACCATGCATGTATCTGCACATGCGCGCGCACACACACACACACACACACACACACACACACACACACACACACACACAGAGTAACGCCAGTCCCTAACCCCCTCGTATCACAGTGGTCCCCACATTCCCCGGGGTAGGAATGCATTCCTGGCATTCTGAGCTGGAATTCTTAGAGACAGGGTTGGTCTGTATTTCAAGGGCTGATCTGCAGTGACTCTGAACACTGACTCTCAACTATATTAGGTAAGTGACAGGGCTACTATTTAACAGTAGTATGAAGAAAAAGATTGAAAAACACTTAGATGAACTTAATAAACCTTACTCTACCCATACTCTCAGATTGGAATTGTTCACAACAAATATGCTTTGCATTCCTGCATTAGCATTTTTTTTTTTTGAGAAGGGGTTTCACTATGTTGCCCAGGTTGGCCTTGAACTTGTGATCTCCTGCCTTAGTTTCCTAAGTTGCTGGGATCACAGGTATACACAGCTCACATATTACTTTTTTTTAATACAATTTTTTTAGTTGTAGTTGGACACGATACCTTTATTTTGTTTATTTATTTTTATGTGGTGCTGAGGATCGAACCCAGTGCCTCACACGTGCTAGGCGAGCACTCTACTGCTGAGCCACAATCCCAGCCCACGTATTACTTTTTATGATAACTGCAATCCCTTGTTCTTATTAGAATGTTGCCTCAATCATTTAAAACCACTTCGCTTTTAGGAAATGATATTTTCTAAGGCTGTTATTAGGAAACTTCAAAAAAATTGAAAAGACAACAAAATAAAAAGGAATATATGAAAACATATATGTGTGCCTTAAGCAATAATAAGATAAACATCACTGGATTCATCACCAGAAGCCCTCACACACCTTCCTGTGCATATCCTCCCCTCTCCAACAGGGAGATGATGTTGAACTTTGTGTTCATCATTCTCTGCATGTTTTCCTAAATGAAAAAATGCTTCACTTTTGACACAGAAGTGTCACATCATAAATTTGTATAAATGGAATCATATAGAATATAATCTTTTGAAATTTACTTTTCATTCAATGTTATATCTTTGAGATTCATCTGTGCACAATGGTGATGCATGTTCTCAAATGAACACATCAGGGATTTATTTATTCATTCTACTATTAATGGATGGATTGGGTTGTTTCCAGAATTTTGCTTTGATGCACAATTCTGCTCTACATAGTTGCATATTTGCTTCTCAGTATACACATGTGAGAGTTTATCTGGGTTCTGTATGCAGTAGTAGACTGCTAAGCTGCAGAGTAATTTAACTAGATAATGCCAGAATATTTTCCAAAGTGGTTTCCAATTTGTGCTCTCTAAAGCAGAGGATGGGACCCACTATTGCTCCACAGCCTTGCCAATACTCAAATTGTCCAACTTTATAAGTTTTGCCAGTCAGGTACTTTAAAAAAGTATTTATCTTATTATTATATTGATGAGCATAAACATCATTTCATGTTTATAGGCCTTAGGTATGTTCTCTCCAGTGAAGCTCCAATATAATTCCTCTGCCCACTTTTTAAAAAAAAAAAAAATTTGTCTTTTCTTGATTTAGAGGAGTTCTTTATGTGTAAAAATCTCCTTTCAATTTGTGGTTTAGCTTTACATTTTCTCTTAATGAATAAAATTCTGAATTGTGATACAGTTGTGTTTACTGCTCTTTTCCTTCATGATTTGTGCTTTTTAGTGTGTATTATTTAAGAAATTATGAATCCTTCTGTAATAGGCAGGATAACTGCCCCCAAAGAGTCCATGTCCTAACCCAGAAAACTGTGAGTATTATGTCACTTGGCAAAGTGGAATCAGGCTGCATATAAAGTTCAGGTTGCTAATCAGCTAGCTTTAAAGGAGGGTGATGGGCCTGTATTATTCAGGTGGGCCAATACAATCACAAGTGTCCTTGAAAGTCATGAGGAGTCACAGGGAGATGTGATTACAGAGGAATGGGTTGAGCCTTTCTAGAATCCTTAGAGATGGAAATCCACTAGTTTTAAAAGATGGAGGAAGTGGTCCAGGAGCCAAGGAATGTGAGCAGCCCCTAGAAGCTGGAAAAGGGAAGGAAATGGATTCTCCCGGAAAGGCTCCAGAAAGGTGTGCAACAGTCCTGCTGACACCCTGGATTGAGACCCATGTTGGACTTCTAATTCACAGAAGTGTCACATCATAAATTGGTGTGGTTTTAAGCCACTAAGAGCAGTCATTGGTTAGAGCAGTAATAGAAAACTGCTAAAGTTTGGATCTGTAGTCTCCCAAAGGCTTGTGCACTGAAGGCTTGGCGCCCAATGCAGCAGTGTTCAGGGGTAAGGTGTTTGGAGAGTGATTGGATCATAGGGACTTAGATGCCATCAGTGGATCCCTCTGTTGATGGGTTCACAATTGTATGGACAATTGGGAGGCGGTGGAAACTGTAGGAGAATCAATTGGAGGAAGGTCACTGAAGGCATGCCTTGGAGGATATATCTTATCCCTGGATGCTCGCTCTCTGTCTCCTTCCCCATCCTTCTTGGCCACCATGATGTGAGCAGCTTTGTTCTACCACACCCTCCCACCTGACATAACACCTCACTGACAGGCTCAGAAACAATGGAGATAAGTGACCAAGGAATAGAACTGCTGAAACCATGATCCAAAATAAATCTATCCTGTTTTAAGTTGTTTTTCTCAGTTGTTTTGTCATAGTGACAGAAAGCTGACTAACTCACTAACACACTAACTCTACTCTTTTTAGTCTATTTGTTTTAAAAGAATACTTTTACTATTGAGCCCAAATGGGCTACCCTCCACCTAATTGTGTTCCCTGTGCCTCCAGATCCAAAGTACTCAGCTCTGACTACTGACATGCACTTAGGGAGCTTTTTCAACATATTGATGCCAAAATAAAAAAAATGAAACCTCCAATAACTAGAGTCCCAAACCAGGCCAACAGATGAAAATGACGAGAAGTAGAAACCAGGTATTGGTCTTCTGCTCTATCCCCATGTATATCAATCATCCATGGTTTCTTTTTTGATGCCTTTTAAAGTACTCTGAAGAATGAGTAAACCTCCTCTTAAATGATACATATATCTGAAAGTTCCCCAGGTGATTCTAATATAGCTAGGGTTGAGACTCATAGGAATAGATATTTTAAAATAAGTATAAACCCTCTTCATTGGGGCAGGCCTTCCACAAAGCATCATCTGCCATGCTCAAGCCTGTCCTTCGAATGCTGTTGCTCATAACCTCTGCATAGTTTCTGCACCCCTGCCCACATTGTTGATTGCCTCTGGACCTTCCCACTACTGTCTAGCAATATCCATCCCAATGTTTGTGGTGTCAGTTGGAAAGAATAGCTGCTCTCCTCTCAGCCAGGAGCTGTGTGAAGGCAGCGGCCCTGTTTTATTCACGTTTGACATCTCCCCACTGTGCTTGGCAGTGGACTAGTGAACATCAAAACAATTTCACTTAGTCAACAGAACAGACTTAAATTCGACTTGAAGGATAGCCTTGTTTTGTTTAGGAGAGCAAAATAAATGTTAGTTTGGTTTTGTGCTAAAAATTATGGTGTGTGAGAAAAATGGATTTGGGCACAAATTGCATGTCCAGCGGGGCTACTCACGGCAACTGGTAATCAAAGCTATATATAAAAGAGATCTTCAATATGAGAAAACAAATGTTTCATTGTAAGGAAAAAAAATGAAGATAAACAAATTAGTCATTGGTTTTAGGTCAGCCATTCAATAATTCTGACATAAGCTTGCCATGTTAGAAAAATTGATCACAAGTTCCTTTAACCTCCTTTAAGCTTTTAAATGAATGCTTAATGTCTGTAAAATGTTCTCAACCTAGCTTCAACTGTTTTCTGTGAATTTCATTTTACTTATTCGTTTTTGCAGGGCTGTCGATGGAACCCAGAACCTGCACGTTAGGCAAGTACTCTACATTTCCCCAGCCCCTTGTCTGAGAATATTAAATATGTTTTTCTCTTTGTTATGGACTTAAACAGGGGTTATGTGTTAGAGAAATGTATTATTTTTAAAACACAATGCTCTTAGGGAAGGGAAGAAAGAAATCCAACTCTCAAGGACTAGCAAGCAGTCCTCTTCACAGGCCCACAGCCACATCCTCAGTTTCCAAGACAGCAGATAAGAAATTTTGTGCAAAACAGATCAATTATTGCCATCCTAAATAAACTATAACACCCAAGGGTTCAGAAATCTTTCTAGAAGGAAAATAAATCAATTAAAAAAAAAAACCCAACGAACCAATTTAACCGTTAGCTCTATGAATGAAAAATACCTTGCATTTACATTTTACGTAAAGCAGGCTAAAAGTCAAAATGACATCTCAAAGGAAAATATTTACATCTGTCAATTTTTACTTTAGAGTTCTAAAATCTTGCTACAACGATAACTGAATTTTACTTGGCCTTGTTTGTTTACTTTTCCATTTTAGTAATCATTAGCATTTTCTACTTCCTACTGCAGTTACCATATTTAATATAAAAATATTCTGATGTTGGCTTTTGAAGAACAAAGGCAGATTAGCTTGGGGGAAATAAGATAAACCTTGTGTACTGGAGGACACAGGGGAGTGAATAAACCCCTGAAGAGCTCCATTCCTATATAGCAATAGATGAACAAGATTATTTTAAGTGCCCTGTATGAATATTAGGAGAATCACTCTCTCCAATCTCAATCCCCCCACTTCTTTCACTCTGCATGCACACAGACAGGCAAGGGGACACACACACACACACACACACACACACACACACACACACATACGGTGATCTATAAATCTTCTGGTTTTAGAACTATTCTTCCTTTCTTTTCAAATCACACTCCAGATAAGACAGCCTCATTACTCCTAGATATGAGATTTTTTTTCCCCTTTTCTCAGTGGAGGATAGAGATGGAAAAGGCATATTAGCTGCCAAAAAATTTCAAAACACTTCATTGACATTTAGTTTCTTAAAGAATAGGGAATTATCTTATTATAGCTGAGAAATTACATTTTATTTAAAACAGATGAGCAGAATTCCCAATAGTGGGACCTGTCACATCTCCCAGTAACACGCCTTCAACCCCCCTCAGCTCATTCATCCTGCTGATTATTAATTCTGTTTCTCATCCTGGACTTCCAGGGTTCAGGTACCATAATATACAAAGGCAAAACCATTCAATGATGGTCAAATGAAGCTTTCAGTGTATATAAAAGAATGAAGCCAAACATCCACCTCTCTGGCCAAGTAGTAGATCTAATGTGGGTAAAATGGACAACCAGTAACTCTCTCCTGAATCTGTCAGTGTGGAGAGGTCTTTAGGGAAACCCACCGTGAATTCTTGAAAGGAAAAGATAGTGGACCTTAGTGTAGAGTTCAACATATCAAGAGCATACAGTCTCTGTCCCCCACCTCCCACGTTAACAAAACTGGCCTGCTCTACATCCTGATTAATGACACTCCAAAAACAGGCATTAGGAAAAAATAATTAGCATACAGGCAGTAATATTTTAATACTGTTTTGACTTGGACTTTTATGTAACTTCAGGTCTGTGATACTGGTTAGTAAATATGGGTAGAAACACATACAAATTACCACAAGGTATTCTTATAACCACTTTCCCTCCACATTTCTGCCTCTCTAATTCCAGAAATCTAGGTACTTGGATTCAAAATAAAAATAAGAAATTAACAAAGAATTAATGAGATGAGACAGATTATTGACTTCTGGATTAAAACACTTGCTTTTGAATACTGTAAGTTGTACACATCCATTTCATTACTCTGGGTTTCTGAACTTTAAAGACAGACCAAAAGGACATAGAGAAAATGATTGTTCTGGAATTATTTTAGATGTTATATTACTGTCTTTCAATTGCAAAGGAAGTGTGGTACTGATAGCAAGAAACACTGAGGCATGGGATAAGTCAGCTGGCAGGGAACACAATCACAGACCACATACTTACCAATAATAACAGTGTTATCATCAGCAATTAACAACTTGCTGTGGACATAGATAAGCTCAGTGACCAGGTTTCCTTCAAGCTCTGCATGTGTTCTAAGACCACAGAATGAAATATAATTTATCCACTGATTACCAACTGGAAATTAAAAAAGAAATTATTAAAATTAATATGACCATGCTCTAAAAAGGCACATTAAATTTTACTATTTTTCAAAACAAAATATATAATCTAAACATGTTGTTTAGAATGTACTGTATTGTGTGTGCATGTGTGAGTGTGCGCGTGTGCGTGCATGTGTGTGTGTGTGTGTGTGTGTGTGTGTGTGTGTATGTAAAGACAACCTCAGAATTCACCCAGGGTCTACTTTCTCTATCTGGGGAGTTTTTATAGTGTTCCTCTGGATGGCTATACATTTTAAAAAATTATATTGAAGTGTGTTCTGTCTTGCCCTTGCTGAGGCAATCCAAAACTATGTTCAAAGATATATCATTTCATTTTAATGATTTGGTGAGTAATTGCTGAAAAGTGATGGTTAAAGTTGAGGTAGAACTGATAATCCGAGATTCAGTGTGACATTTGCTTCTTTTTGGTTGACACCTGCTGCAATTCAATCAGAGGCAAGGTATGTGCCCAAACATACATTTGTAGCATGTTCCATCCTAAGCAGCTGTTATATTTTACTGACTTGGAGCAAATAAAAATGTTGGCAATTTAAATACCCTCCCCCTTTTAGATCATTCAACTTAGGAACTGAAAGAATCTTTACTACATGAGATGTAGGGGGATTTTCTTCAGAGCAAGCAGTACTAGTCTTGTACTTGGAAATGCTGCCCTCTCATCTCATTATGTAAGGATCATTCATGTGATAAGAAGGAATGCATTCCATATCAAGCCAACCCATAATCACTACCCCAGGATGAATGCTAGTCACAAGATTTTATGGTCCCTATTCCACACAGCAGTTGTCCCGTACAAGCAAAGTCTTATCAAGTCTGATAATAAGAATAAATGGCCTAGAACCAAATTGTCATGAATTCTAATAGAGAGTATAAGTCTTTTTTCTTTTAAAGACTCTTGAAACACACTAATAGAACCAGTAGTCTTTCACATTTCATTTACTGAAGTTTCCATTTATAACTGAGGTTTTCCATTTTACTATTGATGTTATTTAATGTTTGCATTAAGTTTAGATAACTTAGGAAAAAATCCAGTCACACGATACATTCGGAGCTTTCTTCCCTGACAGCTAACTCTTCCCTCATGCACGAGTGATCATACATAGCTATGTTTGGCAAGAGCTGATTTGGTGGCATCACGTGTAGGAGAGGCATTTCCAAAAAGTTCAATGTGAATGAGATCTTTGTAAATCGATTTCTTTCTCTGTGTGTCAGTGTCACATTGGAAAGATGCTTCGTCTGAAGCATCACCTCCTCTCCACAGTCTCCTCTTTTCCAGGAGGGAGGAGCATTTCCTCTTTGAAGCCTCTCATGCCCATAAAATTCCTGGAAAATGTTACTACTATAATATGTAGTTTTTACAAATATTTGTATATTCTTCTATTTCTCTTTTAACAGTATGGGAACTAGTCTGACACATCTTGGTATGCTCATCTGTGCTAAGAAAAGTGGAATAAATGAGTGCAAGGGTCAATAGGTAAAATATTCAAGTGGCAGATAATATTTCAGCTTTGGAGTTTTCTGTATCATCTACAGCTGGCTTTTAACCTAAAATCAAAAATGTTAATGTACAAATGTTAATGTACAAAACAACTTTTTAATGGAATCACTGAACAAATCCTTTGCTAAAATAAGTATTTTTTTGTAGTAATTCCCCACTTGAAAATCACAGTGAACAACACAAGAGGCCAGTAGTTTTTGGTGTGCATAAGAACCACCCCTGTGGGACTTATTAAAAGCAGATTCCTATGACACTGCCCCAAATTTTGATTCAGCAAAAATCATCAGTAAGACACTATCTTTGAACAACACTGCTACTGAGTTTTGGCATTTATAGATTTAAGATTAATAGTGCACATTAAGAAAATAATAGATCATGACCAAGTGTGATATGTTCCAGAGACACAGTCTGCTCAATGTGAGGAAATGCATTAAAACAAGATTATCTTCCTTTGACAATCTAGGGGGAAGATCACATAATCATCTCAACAGATGCACAGACAATCTATCATTCATTACTCATAAAAACAGTGAGGTAGAAAAAGATGCATACATACCTATATGCTTTTAAATGTATAAGACATAAATAATAGATGTATATGTGTGTGTGTTATATATAATCAATACAATTTAATTTTGTCTTGGAAACTTCAGTTAATGTAGCTAGTCAAGAGAAATCATAAGAAATAAGCTAATCACTCATTTGCAGATATGATCATAGTATACCCAGAGAACCAATGATAAAATGATCTTAAACAATGAAATGATTAATTATGGTAACAGAATATAAATTGACATATAGAAACCAGTAGCTTTCATACATACAAATGATAACCATTTAGAGACTCACAAACAGAACTTCATTTATATAGGTTCCTACAAAGATAAAATACTTAAAGATAAATTTAACAGGATATGTGTAAAAATTTAGAAGAAAAATTTAAAAGACTCTCAAGACAGAAGAATAGATAAATGCAAAGCCACCCCTTGTTCTGCGATAGAACTATTCAACACTGAAAGATGTTGACTTTTCCCAGGTTCATTTATATATTTAAGGTAATCTCAATAAAAGTACCAACATTTTTAATGGAGTTAGACAATATGATATCATAGTTCATGAGGAAAAATATATATGCAAGAATAACTTGGAAATTTTTAAAGAAAAGCTATGAGGAGACATTAGCTCTATCAGATATGAACACATGCTATAAAGTCTGTATAATTCAATAGTGCAGAACTGGTACATAAATAGATAAGCCAGTGGATGAACTAGAAAGTCCAAAAATAGACCAAAGTGTAGGTGGAAATTTTGTGTATGATAAAAGCAGAATCTCAAGTGACCAGGACAGGACATTCAAGTAAGAGGTGCCAATACAATGGAACAGCCACTTGAAAAAGGTAAAACTCCAAGAATTCCATTAAGAATAAATTCCAAATGCACTGATTCATAGTGGGATAGGGAGAGGGAGTATGGGAAGAACAGACAAACTCTAGATAGGGCAGAAGGGTTGGAGGGGAAGGGAGAGGGCATGGGGTAGAAATGATGGTGAAACGTGATGATCATTATTATCCAAAGTACATGTATGAAGACACGAACTGGTATGAATATACTTTGTATACAACCAGAGATATGAAAAATTGTGCTCTATATATATATAATAAGAATTGTAATGCATTCTGCTGTCATATATAAATAAACAAAAGAATAAATTCCAAATGGATCAGAAATGAAAATGTAATCATATGAAATGAGACAAAAAGAAGAAAACAAGAGTAAATTCATTTACAATCCAAGTGAAGGGAAGGCTTTTTAATATCCAGTGGCAGTAAAAGATTGATGATTGATAATGTTAACTGGATTACATGAGAATATATTTGCATGACAGAAAACACCACAGGAAAAAAAACAAGGGCAAAATGCAAACATGAGAGAAAGTATTTGCAAAAAAAATGATATGTATACATATAACATATATATGTATATATGTATATATACATATATATATATATCAATCAGATAAAGTGTAAGAGTTCTTAAGTTATAAGTTCTTTATAACATATGAAAGACTTGAACTGAAGAGGAAGAAAACCAAAATCTTGATAGAAAGATGGGCAAGAGATATAAATAAGCAATTCACACAGACAAAAAATACATGTGAAAAGATATTCACCCTTAGTCAAAATAATAGAAATGAAAATTAAAACTACACTGAGAAACCATTTCTTACTTATGAGATTGGCAAAAATGAATGAATGGATGGATGGATAAATGAATGAAGAGGAAGAACATATTCTGCTGGGGAGACTAGGCTGGAACAGGCTCTGTCATATATTGGTGATAGGAACGCTAATTCCTAGAGGGTCACCTGGAGATATTTGACAAAGCTACCTAGTAATTCCACTCTAGAAATTTACCCTAAAGATATACCTACAACAAATAAGAAAACATATGCACAAAGTTACTCACTGTCCAGTCCTGACTATTGAAAGTGTACGATTTGTTTGCAATTGAGAAATATAGAAAACATTCTAAATGCCCATATATAGTGGAGATATGGAGTAAACCATGGCAAATCCACACTTGGGAGACTCTGCAAAAGTGAAAAGGAATGAAGATCTCCGTGAATTGACATTAAAGTGACTCCAAAATCATTTTGCCCCTCCCCCCAACTAAAATGACTGAAGGACCATTTCAGATTAAGGGAAAATAAGGGTCAAGGGCAACCAAGTGCTACACATGATTGTGAGCAGAACATGCCCCCAGAAAACAAAACCTTTCTTCCTCTTCTGCTTGAAGAAGATTAGTGGGACAGCTGGCAAAATTTTGGTAAGGGCTATAGGCTAGGTAATAGTATTACATTAATGTTAGTTTCATTTATTTCAGTAATTGAACTATAGCTGATTAGGAAATTGTCCTTGTTTTCTCAGAAACAGTATTTAGGGGAAAAGGAACATCCTTGCTACAACTTATTCCAAAATGGTGCAGAGTAAAGAAGCAAACAAAATCCTATTAAAATATAGATCTACTGGGAGAAAGCAATAAAGCAAAGGGGGTGATAAGCTAACGTTTGGGAAATGAGGATGAAGAGTCCTGAAAACGGTTCTACAAGTCCAAAATTATTTCAAAATTACTTTTTTTATATTAGGTAATACTTATTAGCTGTTATCAACCTGAAGGTCTAAGACATGTCATAGTGTGTGGCTTTCTGAAGCACAGGGATGCACGATCCTACAGGAAGCCTAGGGAGCATCAGTAAAGTACCAGAGACCACCCTGCCTATAGCCCAGGCCTACCTCCCACTCACCTTCACCTATACAGTAACTCTGATGCAATGATAAAACCTTCATTTCTTTGTGAAAAAAATGACCCTCAAAAGAATGCTAATGGTACCAGCCACAAGGTCTAAAAGAAAGATAATGGCTGCTAGCCAGAAAGTGAACCATTTTGGTCTGTCCAAT